TTGAGTACATTTAAAAAGTTTCATATTTTGAGACAATTCCCATAAAAACTGATAATATGTGAAAATTAAAAAGAAAAGGATGAACTTTTTTCAGAACAAAAGTTCCGAGGTTGTTACACAACTTCTGCACATTCTGATAGAATTAGTAGACAGGGGAAAAGAAGGATGGACTGTATCAAGATGATATTAAAAAAACAAAGTCAATGTAGAGATGGAATTTGATTGCGAAGAATCGTAGAAGAAACATATTTCGCTGACTCCAAATAAATTGGTAACCGGGTAGGAAAACGGAATGTCACAAGCACAAAGTTTAGCGTAGAGTTACGACTTACTGGCTGAAAATGAAATGCTGAATAACAACAAGAACTTGGCTACATCATTAAACGAAATAACAACATCTTTAACAACAGTAAATTACTCAAATATGCCTCTGTTTATATACGAGAGCTATCAACATTTCTACACGGCAAATAAATTAAAGTGGAATCGTATTGTGATACTTTAAAAATAAAAGTAATACTCACAAAGCGTAAATCAAGAGTTTGGTGCATCCTCCCACGTTCATATGAGACTGCCCGAACGTTTTTTTAAAGAATCAAATTAGGATTCTTAAAATACCACACGTTCACAAACGATCTGTGAGATATGGCGCCGAAGTTTTTTTAACGTTTTATGTTGCTCAGTTTATAGTATACAAAAAGACAACTGCCTCATCGTTAACATTATCAATATACATTTCAAAACAAAAAAAAAGTTTTTGACACTTGAGATTTGACTCAAAATAAAAATTCGAGTAGCAGCGTCAATTATTTGTGAAACTGGAATGAAAGTTTTATAAGAATCTAAATAAAATAAATGCCTGAAAATCTTTTTGTTACCAAGTGATGGTGTACATTTGTTAACTATCCAAAAATATAGGCTTGTAATTAGAAATTAGTTTCAAATCAGCAAAATCTCTTTTAATTAAAAAAATTTGTAATGCAAAGTAACAAATTTCTAATTATAAACTTTATTGTGTCTGAAATTATTTTATTAATATTAACATTTTATTGCTTTAAAAAGTTACAGTATACCAAAAAACCGGAAACATCAAATAAATCTTGATGAGATAATAACAAGAAACACACCGCAATGCGATGCTTTTAGCGTTGCGAAATTTTGACCGGCTAAGTTATTCTTAATTGGTTCCCAGAACTTTGAGATCTCCAAGCCAAAAATAACCGAAGGAAGTCGGAGGGCGCGACAAATTGCGATGTTTCTATTCTCGTGTCGCGCATCGGAATTGACATGTTGACATACTTTTAATTGATAAACTTGGCTCTGACTTTATAGAAGAATAGTCATTCTTGCTAGCGACTGTGTATGTGTGAAATAGACTTTGACATATTTTGTCGAAACAAAGTAAGTTTCAACATTAACCTAAACTTATTGAAGATTAACAAAAACATATCGTCAAGATAGTAAGTAAGTACAGTGGATAGTTCATAATTTAAAAAAGGCACTGTTAATGTAAATATCAACATTGAATCCATAGACGTGAAAGCAAGTGTACAACATGTTGTCACGCCTGACTTGTTGAGTGGTACATGGAGCGAATTGATCTGTAGGTACTTCCTTATTTCCTGCCTCACCTACTTCTCTACCTCAACAATTTATCAATCGCTGCATGAATGCCCCTCGGCTTTTAATAATAATAATAAACTTTATTTTCTCTCTTCCTTTTGGTACTTAACTCGGTACTTATTTGAGAAAATCACGAATTCAATAGATATTTTCTCAGTACCCCAGGCACGAACTTTGGCAGATCTATATTCGTAATGCAATCGTCAATGTTACTATGGAAACTAAGCAGTGCTCCTACCGGACGTAAGAACAAACTAGCTCCTTTCATAGAAACTGACGATGGCGATACGAATACTTTCTCGCTAGTAGTTCGTGCTTGGGATACTGTAAGTAAATTATAGGCAAAACGAAGCGTTCATAATATAAGTACATATTTCACACATTCCTTGCGTTGCTCTTTTTTCATCTATTCTATACAAAAACCCGAATACGGTCACAAATTACTAAATATTAACCGAATTTGCATATTTATCACAATATTTATCTGCTCATTATCATATAATATTATGATACTATTAAGTCCAAAAATATAATCACAATTAAATTAGTTCATTTATCATGATATTAGTTTTATTTCATAGTTGTTGCTTAAGATTCTAGTTACAGTTTACCACATAAAATGAAAAAATCAACATTAGAAATACTAAGACACAGAATCGTACTTCATTGTTATAATGAAATCCGAAATGTATTTTACATGCAACATAGGAATTATTACAAAACCGTATTCGGCTACTGTTGGTCGATTTTTTTACCTAAGTTAGCGATAACACGCGAACTCTGACTAACCTCGAAGTTAATTTGACTCCGTCTACAAACGAGCTTCTGGAAAACAGCGGCTTTGGCGCTAACGATTTACGGATAGACACACCTAATGGATGTGTTATGAATGCCTAGCTTGGTGTCAACGACCGCCGAAGGTTAGGACTATTTTGAGATTAGAAAATTTGTCTCCTAAAAAATGTTACTTTAACATCCTAAACTAAACACACGTGTTGCCTCAGCGTCTGCATCACGCAAGAGCAGGGGGTCATTGTCCTCATTATCATTTAGCACGATAAGTTTGATACGGAAAAATTCATCGGCGTCGTTGATACTGTTATCAGCCAGTTTTCGATGGACTTTCATAATAAGTCGCGGCAGATTAAGGAAACGAGGTCGAATCGGCATCGCGACGAAGTGCCACGGATCTTTTTTCAGTGGTCATGCTATGATAGCGTAAATTACCACAGTAAACAGAGTATACGTGTCCTTGGACACGGATCGTTAGTCTCACCGAGGTCGGAAAAGGTCAACTGTTGTGAGTATTATTAAAGTGGTTGTTTTTAACACTTTTATTAAAATTTTGTGCATTATATTTATTCGTATACTATGAAACTGCTAATCACTTATGTTCATACATCCAAATGTATCTATAGCTTGAATAATAGTGCGATTATACTAGATAAAACAATTTCGAAGAATATTCTTAAAGCATTAGTGTCATCGGAATTGAGAATGAAAAACCTCAGTTCATTTTACTTTATACACTAATTTGATCAGGAATGGAATTTAGGACACATTATGTAATCCAAGAATGGCGACAACGCAAAGTCTAGCTCATTTTTATTTCACTCCGCTTCACTTTTCAGCTTGTTCTTTAATAAATGTTTAATTATAATTCAATGCTTTAATTGTTTAAAATCAAGCTAATTAAGTAAGCAAGGTACACATCTATTTGGCAATTTTCTCATCATACAATGACAATCCGAGAAAAAGGTTTCACATACCTACATTGGGTTGTTGAGAACAGTTTCCGACATTCATGCCCGTGACTATTGTTCTTCGGATTCATATAAGCTAATAGCAGGTTCTTCGATACCGCTCCATGCCCGTCGGAGGCCTTCATTAATGACTGAAGGTTGTTAGGAAATGGACTATTGTGGTTCTTTGTTGATGCCAATATGTGGGGCGCACACCGAGAGTCAGCACCCCACTGTTACATAATTATGTGAGTATTATCAATGGAACGAGGCAAAGTGCGAACTGCTACTGCATTGTGTCCATCAATATAACAGAAGAGCTCTTAACATCAAATATTATAATTTTTATTATTTTAAAGCATGTAACTGCTTGATGTTTAAATGTAAAGAAAATATAACTAGAAAAAATTCCACGCGGACCAGGCGACATTGTGGGTTACCTATAATGCGAAGAGATGGCGCTGACTTGCAGCTTAAGAATGGCTAGAAGAATTTCGACGCGGTCCGTGAGGGCCGAGGTAGCATAATTGGTCAGTGCATTCGCCCGGATTGCGAAGGGTGCTGGTTCGAGTCCCGTCTGCTGCCTGGTCCGCGTGGAATTTTTTCTAGTTATATTTTGTTTACATTTAAAAATCAAATATTAGCTTAAGCTAACAAGAAGATTTTTCTGCCACAGAATCATAAAAGAATCACTATGAATTTCTATAAGGAAAGCCAATGCGTTCGTCACCATCTTTGAGGTACCGGATTCAAATATCTGGCTGGTAAAAAATGAGAAATCGATTTATTATCTCCTTTGCTAAATTGGCAAAAAAGTCATAAATGCAGATAGTAAAAGTCCATCAATGGACTATAATATACCCTTTATTAGGATATTGTTATAGTGGTGGGATGACAATACCACTACAATGCATTTTAAACCAGTTTCAAGTTTTTTAAGATCAAACATCTAATAAATATCTATTTAGATAAAAGAAATATATTCCTTTGATTTATTGGTTCAAAATTGAGTCTGATGTTTCTATAGCAATGAAAAAGGTCAACACTATGAATCCAGTGTTAACGACCCCTAAACCGATGGCCTATGGAGAAGGCCGAGCCGAGCTGCCATGGTTTTTGTCCCGACGAGCGTTGCTCAATTGTATTCATTGTCTAACTGCAACCTTGGTCAGCTGTTGACGAAAACAGGGGAAGCTAAAACTGTTCAACGATTAGAAAATTATTGCTGAAATTTATAATATTTAACCATATTATACCACAGAAAAGTAACATAAATTGGCCTTAATAAGGTTTGAAACCGTGTCGAACGTTTTTTAGTACCTAAGACTAAGTGTTGTAAGAATCAAGAAAAACCCAATATTAATATTATAAATAGATACTTTACTAGTAAAGTTAATTGAGTTAAGTTGATAAATGTGAATATTTAAGTGATAATACAAATCTATGTACTAACTAGTTGCTGACTGGAGTAATCTACCTGATTTAGCCAGACGTTACGGACGGTGAGCCCCCTCCCGCCCCCCCGGTCTTACAGTCGCGAGCGTGGCCGTTCATCTGGTGGCCGTTGTGGCTCAACCCGGGTTTGGCCTTTAATTGATCATGTAAACATAGAGGAACAAGTAAAAATCTACATACCTATTTTTCCGTTGGGACTATACGGACCGTAACTGCTTGATGACAGCGGGGAGGAGTAGCCGTTGTTCGGGGGCTGCGTGGCTGCGCCAGGGGACGGTGAGCCCCCTCCCACCCCCCCGGCCATCCAGTCGCGGACGTGGCCGTTCACCTGGTGGCCGTTGTGGCTCACCCCTGGCTCGGCCTTCACCTGGCTCGGCAGACCGCGGTATGCCACCTCGTGCTTCAAGTCCATGCCGCCGCTACCGCATGCTGCCGCGCCAGCCCCGCCGCCCGCGCTCCACACTTCTGTGAAACAAAGAAAAATTTACATTACTTCTGAATTCAACTAACACATACATAACTTGCTCCCAGAATACGCAAATGGTAGGCCCTACATGGATGTAGATTATAGAAATAGCCAGATATTTGGCATATTATTGAAGTATGGATTTATTTCTTCTTTCCTCCTTGAAAAATTAAAATGTCAAAACATCACAGACAACATGCTGACATAAGAGTATTATTAATCCACAGATTAATATAGGTACTAAATATGAGAAATTGAAGTGTTGTATTCTAAAAACTAGAATTAAGTATGGATAATTGATATTTTTATAAAGTAATTAAATAAAAATGTTGAAAGAAATGAATTTTCTGGTAAATTAATGCCTACAAGTTGTTGGTAACAACATGTTGTGATAACACAACATAAATAACGTAATAGCTAATTATGCTTGTAATGATAGACGATTTATTCTTTTACAACTACAAACACAATTAATTATTTTAAATGCTTGATAGTGTCCCCAAATATAAGTTTTTGATGTCATAGAAACAACAATGTAATCACAAACTACTTGGTGTATGTTTTTTTATGCTTGTTGAATTTTAACCCTTTATGGGCTTGATCCTGTGATGATTCTAACGAAATCCTAGCTCTAATAAATGATGATCTCACCTAACAAAAATCATAAGTCCATACATCCAACTCTCAAAATAAAAATAATTCTAACAACATTTTTTTCTTTTTAACGAATATTATTTGGTTTCTTTCGATATACTGCATTAAAATTTAGTTTTAAGCTTATAAAATCAGGCTTATTACAGACACCTTATGATTGGCAATGCAGTAAACACGATACAGGGAAGTTTGTATGATGCTTGAAGATTCAAGAAAAAATAGAAATTTGTTTACAAATATTACTTTGTTTTAACCTTTCATGGTCACTAAAATTATAGTATACTAGCAAACCAGTGAACCAAATGTTCACCAAAACCTGATTTCTCGAAAACCGGAAGTGCTACGTTACTCAAATCCGGTTTGTAGTCTTATCAGACTATTCTTAACTTATAACTTAAATATTCTCTTTATCTATCTCTTACGGTTTGGCCGCTGAAACAGCACCACAGACAGACGGACGGACTTGTCTAATAGATAAGAGATTAATGTTATTTACGGGATTACTATCACGTATGTTTTCTGGGATATTTCGGCACTTGTTGCAAGCGTCATGATCACGGAGTAACTAAATAGAACGGTGCTGAAATATCGGGCTCCCCCAAAAATGGTACATGGTAGTAATCCTATTAATTGCCAGATTGGTACCATGTACTTCTCTCTTTGTACCCACCCTCTATTATATAAAAAAACTGAATTGTAAACAAAGAATGTCTCTTAATAAACGACACTGTTATGTGTTGTAAGTCTTAATCTTGAGTGTGGTGCGGACGATCGCTCGTAAAGTTCTGCGTCTGGGATTAAGCGAGATCTTTTGGAGAGAACCGAACGTTGGGATGTTAGCAATTGGCCTAGCATTGTTCGTCCGCTCGTAAAACAAGATGCATTGCGTTCTGTGACAATTTTTGAGATATATTCCTCGGGATAAGGGATATGTCTTGCTTTTATGTAATGTCATGTAATCCGGGTCGTTTCTCCCGTGTTGTATTTATTTGTTTGAGTAGTTTTATAAGATAAACAGAGATATTGGTAAAGAAAGTAATAATTTAGAAGTTAAAGCTTTAAATTACTTTTGCCACAAAGGCTGATTAACAACCACTTAACGTCGTTTTTCACATCTTTTTGTATTGTCATGCCTTTCTCACTGTTCTAATTGTTTTTACTGTGGGTAATTGTTTTTGTGATATAAGTGTTATTATAATATTTTCAAGTGCAAAGTATTTCATTACGCCCCTGAATGGATTTACGAAATGTAAGTAGTTACGCGGTGTTTTTGAAGTGAAAACTTCTTTAGCGGCGTTGTACACTTTTTTTGTATGGGTAAAAAAAGTTAAACTCGCGTCAGGTTAAACACGTGGGCTGATCGCATCATGACACACAATAACATTGCAAAGGTTGTTGACTTTTGATATATTGGACGAAACATAGTAATATTTTATTGTATTACTTATAAATAGATAATTCGTAAGACGAAAACAATAAAATTGGAAAGGTTGTTGACTTTCAATATATTGGACGAATCATAGTAATATTTTATTTTATCGTATTATAATAATAAGTCTGTGTCTACAACGTCCAGGTAGCAGCTTTATTGCGAAGAAATTGCATTTTTTTTACAGTAGGTTTCGCTAGGTGCACTTAAATGAGTAATTCTGAGAGATAAACTTTGTAATGTAATATAAATTGTCAAGTTTGTGTACGATAGCGCAATAAATAAATATTGTATTCTACCACATAAATAATAGTACTTTTATACTGATAATTAACGAAATTCGTGCAAAATTATTCCCTAACCATTCCAAAATATCAAAAATGCACAACGTTAATATTCAAGTTTTCACTTCTGCCGGCACTCCCGGAGTGCAACCCGTCGTTTTTTTTTATATTTGAATTCCTTGACCGAACCACACACTATTTATTAATTCTGGTAATATAAGATGTAATATCCTAAATAAATCAGTTAGATTAGGAACAAAATTATACAAACATTTTCATAATTATTCCAATAGTTAGTTCCTATTATAGCGCTTTTAAGGGTTAAGTAGTCCGGAGAAGGAACCTTTATAGTTTCGTCATGTCCGTCTGTCTGTCCCCGGTTTTGCTTCTACCATTTTGTTGACCATGCCGACAAAATGGTAGAATAAAGATTTTTTTCTAGATTCCCTGCTAGATTCTTGGACATGTAACCTGGGGATGTTTTTTTTCATCATCTTCCATATTTATGCTACGGATATAGTTGAATAGGTCTTTTAAAATTACTTCGAGGTACCTAAGATTATTTTTCGATTTTGGGATCCGTTTGCGAAATATTGAACTTTAAAGTGCTAATTTTTGTTCGAGTAGGGGGTTGCCCCTTCTCAGGGGATGACCGCTTCAGATGAAACTTATAGAATCCTTCTAGGCCATAAGCAGGGTATCCATGAGGATTTCACACCCGCTACCCCACCTGGCAGGAAACAAAAAATGAATCTACGGTTATCATTCGTATTTTAATAAATAATAATATCGAATTGATTTTGAGTTTCAGACGCAGTTCGACTTTGATTAAGGTAGTAGTAGTAGTAGTCAGTATTTAGTTGAGATACAAAGATTGATATTAATTAGTTTTTATAATTTGCGATATTGAAAATAAAGACTCCTGATGAAATATATTGCGGTTACTACAGGCAACTACGAAACCTTGCACTGAGCGTGGCATGACACGCACTTTACCGGGTTTTTTCAAAATCGTTTAGCCTTAAAATTTCATAATTATAAATTGCATCATTTAACATCTAGGTTATTATCAACATGACCTCTCTGTTGTTATGTAATGTAATGTCGTCCGTCATATTTTTTCAATTTTTTAACTTTTCACCGTTGTGTTTAAATTTTTTAATTTTTCCATTTGTAAATTCAGTTTTTTTAATACAGAGTTAAATTTGTTATTTCATGTTCTTAATCATAGTTTTCATACGTATTTCACACGTTCAGTATTGTGTCTACAGATTTCGTATCGTTTATGTATAACATTTTGCACTATATACGTATGTTACAGGGTTTTACGAGCAATACAATAAACTTTGTTACTTTAAACATTTTATGAGAACTCATAAAAATAAAAATATGCAAAACACGCGATTTCACTACCAGGAATGTTGCTGTATACAACTAAAATATTTTTGCTTTTATTAATATGTGTTTGTATGGTAGTAACTACTTTATTAAAATGATAGTTACCAAGTTTGTAACGTTTTAGCCTTATCATGGCTATTTTATTTCGTAATTTCTCATGACCGTCTAGAATTTTAATTGCGAACTTGCCAGTAGTATGTTTTACAGCATGAGTTGCTTTATTTTAGTATAAAAATATCTAGAACACGGAATGATTTTGACATTATCCATGCGTGAATACAGTTACGTCATTTCACTTTTAATTTAAACACCGCTAGGTATTTTGATATTTTTTACAAACATGAATTTTCTTATTAAAATTAAAGACTAAATATAAAATAAAACATTTTTAAAAACAGATGCAGCCACGTGGAACTGAAAACTGAAGACTTGCATATTCATATATATTCATCTCGACTATTCAAATAACTTTACAAATGTAGGTTTTCAACATTGAAGAAGGTCCTGTGAATATATATTAACATATCTGGGTAAAACGAAAATCTAACCGTTTATTCCGTTATGTGAAATATCCGACAAGTAGGTAGGTAGGAAGGTAGCCACATACATACATTAGCAATTATTCCGCATTTACACGCTGATTGAGGCTTACCAAGCATTCATAATATCAAGCCTTTAGTTATAAGATATGGCGGCTAATCGCCTAAGGGGATTGCTATGGCTATCGCAATCGCTTACGATTTCAGTTTGTTATTTCTGGCCGCTGAGCGTTTTTAATTACCTCCCGCTCATTTTTTTAATATTGTTATTACCAATGCAAAAGAAAAAAACGAGCGCAAGGCATTTCAAAACCTTCGACGGTCAGAAATAACAAAATTAAATCCCCCTCAAAAAAGACTTCTCTGCCACGTTTCTAATATTACAGATGTCAATAGACCCTGATCAGTGGATTAAGACAAGTGGCTGTAACTAAGCATAAGTGAACGGTAACACAATAAACTTTGAAATTTTAGGTCGTCCACTTGATGATTTAATTAATAATACAATGTTTAATACACATAAAACTTACAAGAAATAATTTCATTGATTTATTGCTTATCATTAACGTTCAAACGAATAGAAAGAAGGCCAGTTGTCTATGCCCCCCAATATTATAAGAGGGCTTACAATTTTTTTTGTATTCTATATCGAACATAGAAAAGGCAGCTTTGAACGCTGGCTAAGTCTTAAAAACGTAGCTTACGAATTCTCGCTTAGGCTATTTATTGGATTTAGACAAGTGGCTCTAACTAAATGAACGCTAACACAATTAACTTTAAAAGTATAGGTCGCCCACTTGATGATTTAATGAATATACAATGTTTGATACACATAAAACTTACAAGAAAAATTTAATTGATTTATTGCTCATCATTAACGTTCAAACGAACAAGGAAGAAGGCCACTTGTCTATGCCCCCCGATATTATGAAAAGGCTTTCCATTTTTTTATATTCTATATATAAAATGAAAAGGCAGCTTTGAACGCTGGCTTAGTCTTAAAAACATTTAGGCTATAGGATAGCGTGTTAATACGGCATTAGGTATTCCATAACACCGCATGACGGCGTGGTTCGGCGCGGCGTGGCAGCGGCGCTGGAGCGGCTCGGTTGCGCCAGCGCAGAGAAAGCGCTGACGTCACGACCTCGACACGCTCACCCAGTTGCTCGGTGCACCAACCTACTTCGACGCTACTCCGCGGTCCAATGTCGTTGGCTTTCTTAGCTGCGTTCATCACAAATTTTTTAATGTTCTCATGATATTTGATTCGGTTGAAAAAAGTTTTGTTTATGTTTTATTTGTTTTAATTTTTTAGACGGAATTCAAACCCGTATTTTCTGCTTCTGCTCGGATATGGGATTTGAATCTCGTCTGAAACCAGCACCGAGTGGATTTTTTTTATACATCAAGCAGGAAAATGCTCAAACTATAAATATTTATAGTAATTTGACTAAAAAAGTTATTTCTTGTTTTGTCATCTTACTGACTTTTGGTGAACTGTGAATTTCTTAACGAGTGAGGCACAGCAGCCTCAACGTATTTGTAAGACTTTTTGAAAGTTTTCAAAAAAAAAAATCAGCAGCTTTAAGCAACATATTTAAATTTTTGAGTAGTTTCTTTTTTATTATTTCCAAATAGGCCAACCTTTTTAAAAACTAAAATTATAGTACTAGCATTATCATCTAAGACTAGAACCAGGTTGCTTCTCTGTGGCTACAGCAGTTTCTGAAAGTACCCTGTTCATCTTTATCAAATCCAAGCAGAAATCATAACCGAAATATATGGATGTTCACAGAACCTTTTATGGCTTTAGCATGGCGTGGCTGAGAATGATTTGTCTTGTTTCGTGACAGCTATCTCTAAATAAATTTAGCTTGGATGCCAAATTTATATCTCTACTACAAAGTAAGGTAATAAATTATTAAACATACTAAGCATCTGTTTCTTTGCCTGTCAATGCGCTTACTCCTCAAGCTGCAGAACTAAGGTCCAAGCACCAACTCTCACAAATCCGTAATCGTAGGTATCGCATAGTCAAAGTGTCTATGAAAACTAAGCAATGCCCCTATCGGACGTAAGAATCCACTGGCTCCTTCCATATAAAATTTGACGATGACGATACTATACGGAGCCTCCGATTCCTCCCACACAGGCCACAAACACCAACACTACACAAAAGTGCACACAAGTGTTGCCATCAAGTTTGAAAGAGTTGCCGTGTTCGATACATCAGATTGCCGTATTTTTAAATAAAAATCATGATTTATCAATCATGATGCCGTATTACCTAATTTTATTTATTAAAATTTATAGGTAGTTCGTATTATTATACGGCAATGACAAACCTTCCGTATAATCTGAAATTATGAACTCAAATTGCCGTATATTACGGTAATTACCGTATCAATGGCAACGCTGGTGCACACTAGCTTAGTATTAGGTAGACACCGCACCCGTAGGATAAGAGTGCGAAGACCCGGTCTACACACAAACGCTATACCAGGTACATAACCGAAGTCCGAGTCTCAGAGACGCCTATAGTTGAGTCGAACCCCTCAGGTTCGAGTGGTCTAGAGACTCCAGACGGAGAGGAGACTCCCCCCGTGGGGAGATGCCATCCGCCTGGATTACCTCTAGAGGCACCGTTCACAGGATCACACTACAGGATCTCGCCGTCCTTAAACCCGGTGACGCTGTAAAGGTCATCTGCGTCCAACAGTCAGTCAGTTTTTTTTTATGTGTATGCTACACATAAAAAAAAACTATAACGGACGTCCTCTGATTTTACGATTCGATTGATGCATCAGTTAGATAATTTTTCACACATTGTTATAGGGATATCTAATTATTATAAGCCGGAGAACAAAATCTGTACCTGGTTTAAACGGTAGCGAAGTAAGGTTTGGTCACTAGGATTTGATATGATTATGCTTAAAAACATGCACATAATTATCTAAACATCAAGACTTTCAAAAAAAAGGAGTTGAAAAGTCTTTTATGAAATAGGTAGTGAGCGCGAAAATTTAAGAAAAATATATTGTGTTCATGCTTTTTCTTGATAATTTCAACGTTAGTGTAGATTTCCGCCCGCCCGCATTAAGTTGTTAGTTGGCCGTATTGATGGAAGTAGGTAGAGCGTGAATAACAAACCTTCGATGAATTTCCCCTTGCCTACGTGCCAATCTCCGTAGCTGTTAAATTTGGAATGGATTTTTTTGCAATGACTTTTACTTTGCAAAAGAACAAGTTTAAAAAAATTGGTTTCTTGGTAAAAATTAGACATCATAGGTATATCGTTTGGATTCAATAAGATTATAGGTAGTAAAATATAAAGAGCTATTGCTGTAAAAACCCACAGGTTTCCTACGGGATTCAGGAGGACCTGGACTGAGTAGATTATTTTCTAGGAATATTTTCCTTAGATTTTAACATCTAGCAGTTAAATGCACAAAATAAAATAATTTATAGATGGTATTTATATAGGTAAGTTTCATGATAATGACAACGGTAGTAAATAATATAAAAAATGGGTTAAATCTATCATAATTCTGTAACAATATATTTTAGTGTAATTAAAAGGATGGCAAACAAGCGTAAACGCTCAACGGTAAATCGGGCAGTATAAACTAAGTTTAACTACCTCAATTTTAATTCGTTAGTATAATAATCTTATGATACTGCTTGCTAGTAATGTTTTGGTATCACACCTCTGAAGCCTATCCTGACTGACCCCATCCCCTACCCTGGAGAGCCCAGGAAACCTTATTCACCGATAGAGAGCGAGGCCACAAAACTGCGTTGCGACGTCGTATCGCAAAATCGAACGCAAAATAAATTATCACTGCGGCCGGAAGCGCATCGGACTATTTCGGGTTGCGATGTATGACGTCGTATACGGTGCAACGCCGGCGCCGCAACGTAGTGCACTCGGTCTTAGGTAAGACTACCTTATAATTGCTTGATGTCAATTAAACTTAACGCTTTGCAAAGCGATAGCATCAACATTAATCACACTTAAAAATAACGTTGCTGAATGCTGCCGAGACAGGTATGTTAATTTTAAACACCCCATTGAAAGTAGATATTATATTAAATATCTACGCAGTAACAGATTCCAAGCCAGATTTTCCACTTTCATCGCTTACTGTGCTAGAGGTCTAGATTCATACTTACTATATTAAGTAAACCGATTATAATTAACAGTCACTTTCAGAATGAAATGAGTATTTTCACAACGAGTTTTGTTGCTATTTATTGATATTAATGAAATATTAAATCATGATGTACCGTTTTTTAACAAAAAAAAAACTTGTAAACTTTTTATATGAACGTATGAACATTAAATCTTAGTGTTTCACAATTCTTAGTTTCTTGTGGCGAGGCGATAACAAAGAAACGGCACTTCCCTAGAGTGAGTGCTGCCGGCGCCACCTATAAAATCAAACGACACTCTTTAATTTTTACACACGGCAGCCGAATATCACAGTCATTTTGCCCCGAACAAGACACAAAACAAGGCGAGCGGCCGCCGCATCGTTACATCGCCGATCACGCTTCCGTCTCCTTACCTCCGCAAACCAAACGTACCGTCTCTTTTACGACACGGAAAATAAACTTTTATTACTCATTACGATGACATTAGAAAATACTACACGGGACGGCGAGAGCAATCGAAAGAATTCGCTTCGCGTCCACGAATATTCGTGAAACGAAATCGCTACCTGATTTATGCGAGCTTTACACGACGATATTCAGTGAAATAAATCCGGTGCGGTTGGGTGGTTCGCGCGTAGAACACGTATAAAGTATCTTTGCGGTCAGCGGATATTTACTGGATATAACATAAAGAATAATAAAGGGAACGACGCGTCGGTGTCCTCAAAATGTCCCGGAATAGCGTCGCCCGCCAGCACTGATATAGTGCTAGAATCGGAGTGGCGCGTCTTTATGTTGGTACGCTGCAATTCCAAAATGAGGTTTTACTCGATTGGTGCAGTATCAGGGAATCTCAATGACATGGAAATAGAATTTATGTGAGTATCGCGACCCCACGCGCGATATATTCGGACGGCCTCGAGTATGTTGCGTCACTGCGCTGGCTGGTGTGACCTTGTTGTAATTTCACGCAGGCATACTAATTTTCTATATCTACTAGGTAGGCGGGTTCGATAACCGAGTGAGGTGGGACTAGACCGTTTGTTGGCACCGTAATTAGAGAGTATGGTTTGTTGCAGTGGCGGCCTGGGCATCATGAATTATTGAATTCCGAATGTAAGCTGCCGCCGAGGTGATTGCCGGCAAATTGTCATAGTTCCCACGGGAGTTACGTCATTTTTATGGACTGCTTAACCTAAATTAATTAGTACAAAACGGTCACCGAGCAACTTTATGGAACTTGTTAGGCTCAACTGCAATAAACACAAGACACTTCCTGAAAGTTTTAATGAATTTAATAGGCTTACTTTAGTTGATTTTTCAAATATCAGATATATCGTTCCTGAAGTTATTTTTACTGTGTGATTTTTTTAATATGAAAAACATGTTTAGGTCATTTTAAAACTATAGACTACTCAAAGTCAACGACGATAAGCAACCAATGTTTTTGCCATTACAATAATTGGAAAGGTTCTCGCCATAATTCTATTTAATTTATCTTTGAGTATTTTAACCTCGAATCAGGAACAACCTTGTCTTTTGTTAAAAGCATTGGAATTATATATGATGCGAAATAAATAGGTACCCTACTATACAATTATGGATTAGTGACTGTGTATATATATATCCTAGATGAGTAAATTTTTTCAATTCAATATTCTTTAGATAGGATAATCTAGCAATTAAATGCTTAATAAGAAATTATTTTAACATGAGTTTTTACATAAAATGTCTATAATTTTATCCATATTTTGATCATGATTGCTTACATTTACGTTTATTTTTTATTTACATGCCGATGAAATTAGATTTGTGATACACAAGCAATTTGACTCAACTTAGGAACAGATATAGAAAACTCTTTCCACACTCAATAAAATCGTTCAGATATCATATCAAGGTTATTTTAAATCCGTAGCAGTCTGAAACGACTGCGCGCCCTCTGCGAGCTTCGGTAATGCGATTCCTAAACTAGATCCAAATGTAAGTCCTTGGCTATTCCCACCAGATGACAGCTCGTGTTTACAGTACTCGCCATTTGAAAGGGGGACGAAAAGATTGTAAGAAACGAGGAGGGGA